GAAGTGGGGCTTTTTCCTGAAAAAAATATTTGGACTGTGTAACGATTGAGCATTGGGGTTTCTTTTTCCACATTGGTTTTCAGGGGAAAGTCTGCAGGGCTGTTTCCATGGTTGGAATTCTAAGCTCAGAGATCGTGACTCCAGGAGGAATGCTTGGCTCCTCCTTTCCCTTCCACATGTTCCATTGTTCACTGGCTAAGCAAATGTCATCGTTCACAGTCCCTATAAATACAACAGCCTTTTTCCCAGCTGAAGGACCAAAATGTCCCTTTCTTTTCCTGCTCAGTTTGGACATAATAATGTCCTGGCTGTGTAACGATACATCTTAAATGACAACATCTACCTTGTTCAATGGGACGCAGGTGGCGCTGTGGGTTAAACCACAGAGCCTAGGACTTGCTGATCAGAAGGTCAGCGGTTCGAATCCCCATGATGGGGTGAGCTCCCGTTGCTCAGTCCCTGCTCCTGCCAACCTAGCAGTTCAAAAGTACAAAGTGCAAGTAGATAAATAGGTATTGCTCCAGTGGGAAGGTAAATGGCGTTTCCGTGTGCTGCTCTGGTTTGCCAGAAGCGGCTTAGTCATGCTGGCCACATGACCTGGAAGCTGTATGCCAGCTCCCTCAGCCAGTAAAGTGAGATGAGCACCGCAACCCCAGAGTTGGTCACGACTGGACCTAATGGTCAGGGTCCCTTTACCTTTACCTTGTTCGACACCACAGTTAAATCATGGTGCTCACTCCCACAGGATGGATGTCTTTAAAACAGGGTGAGACAAATTCATAGAGAAGGAGAGAGCTAGCAGGGTTTGAAATCTTGCATTTGAAAATGCTTGTTGGTTCTGACACACCTTTGTCTCCCGCCCGCCCGCCCCCCCAAGTCTCTTGCTCTGCTTTGGTAAATAATCTTATGTTGTCTGTTGCATTTTTTTTCCATTTTAAGGAAAGTGTTGATTGCTCTTCAAGTGCAAATGGAAGCTGCAATGGGCAACTCACACGATCTGGAAAAGCGGGGTGTGTCAACGAGGAATTTACATTTAAATCCCAACCCCACTAAAGTAACCCCCACCCTAAAGAATTTGTCCCCCTCAAATACATGTGTGTGCCTTCCTATGCAGACATCACAACGCTCATCTCTCAGTCCCACCACCCTCCCAGGGATGTCTGGGGATGCAGGAAAGGGCCTTCTTGGTGGTGGCTGCTTCCAGGCAACTTTGGAACTCCATTCCTAGTGAAGATGGACCGGCTCCCTTCTTGCTGACATTCTACCAGCAGGTGAAGACAATTTTATTCCGACAGACCTTTGGGAGCTGACTGGTTTTTTTTTTGTTTTTTTTAAAGAAAGGGCTTTTAATAGTTCTTTGCTGATTTTACCAACAGACTTTTAAAATATTTAAAATTCTATTACAGCCTCTTTTTTAATCAATGATTATCTTGTACTGTATATATATTTTTTAGCTTTCTGTATTTTATCTGTCTTCTTTTAATTTGAATAATCCACCTTGAGTCCTGGTCTGGCAGGATATATACAGATATAATAACACCACCACTCAGGAAAACAAACTCTTTGCCCAGATGTTCAGAAAGAAATGCCAACAGTTTTATTTACATCCATTGTGTACAAAAGTTGAGGACAGCCTCTTGCCACAACCGGAACTGCTTCAAAGAGTCCTTTCCCTTCCCCCTCTGCTCTTGGGTCAATGTTTCCAGCTGATGGATGGCTCTCCTCATAGCAATCCCCAGAGATGCCATTCTCACTCTGCCCCTCCTTATTTAATCAATAGCCTAAATACCTCATCCGGATGTCGGGGAGCCAAGGGCCCCAGCGGAGTTTTGCGATCAATACAGGATAGAGCTTTGCAGCAAGAAGTTAGAAACCTCCTGAAATTCCTCTCTTCTCTTTCTGCTTGCCAAAAGAGACCCCTGTCCTTTTGTTCCCCCCAGCCCTGCTTTGCTTGCTTAGCCTTCTTTCTGCTTTCTTGAGGGGCACCCAGGGATTCTGCCATTTCATAGAATCACAGAACTGCAGAGACGGAAGGTATACCCAAAGGTCATTTAGTCCAACCCCCTGAAATCCAGAATTTGCAGCGAAAGCATCCCCGACAGATGGCCATCCAACCTCTCTTTAAAAACCTTCGGTGAAGGAGAGTCCACTGCCGACCAGCTCTTACCACCATAAAGTTCTTCCTAAGAGTTAGTCGAAGTTTCCTTCCTTGTGATTTGAATCCCCTGGTTCCGTGCCCCTCCCCTGCAGAGCAGCAGAAAACAAACTTTCTCCCTCTTCCACATGGCTAAAGCAAGCTAAGCTGGGGTCCCCTCACACTGCTTAGGTTTAACATGTATTCAATATCGAGGTGCGAACAAGTAGCATGAGGCAAACATGGTTTCTGCATATGGTATGGGAGTGATGCTGGCAGACAAAGAAACCCTATTTGCCTCCTGGATCAAGCAAGGTGGCCCTGGCTTTGGCAGATGAAGAAATGTGTGGTGCTCAGAAGCTTGCAAATCCCTACCACCCCTTAAGTTTGTAAAATCTGTTTTGTATTTTGGAATCCTCCTTGTCATTTGGAGGTACTCTGCTTCAGTCTCCATCAAGGGACGATGGGAAAGTGCACTCTGCGCATGCATGCAGAGACACTCGTTCCTTGCCATTACTTCACATGAGCCAGAGCACTGCAAGGTATGTTGCCATCCCCAAGCAACTTGCAATGAACACCCCAGAACAGAAAAGCAGCCACAGTCAGTTTTGCTGGCCTGTAACTGTTCATCTCAGCTGAGCAAAATTGGCAAAAAAAGGGACCTGTGTGAACAGGACTGGCTCGACAGCAAAAGCACCCAAGGTGTGCAGACGTCTGGGGGTGGACTTACGCAGCCCGCAGTCCAACAGGTTGCGTGCTTCAAAATCCCTAGCCACATTTCAGAAGATGACAGGGTGCCACTCTTGGAGAGTGTGTGATGGCTGCACACCCTCCAAATGTTGCATCCTGACACCCTCTGGTTTGCTGGTGGACAGACATTGGAAACCTCATGGAGGACGGGAAAAGGGGAGACAGTGCAGGGACAGTTTGGAGCGGGAAATGGTAAGCAGTGAAAGGGTTAAACACAGAACACACAAGCACACACACACACACACAAACCCTCACCATTTCTTGGCTCTAAGTCATCCCTTCCCAGAGCTGATTTTCTACAATCAAAACAGTGTGTCACAATTTAAAACAACAACAACAGCAACAACAACAACAACATGCATTTGCGGGCAATTTAACCCTGTCTTGAAGACAATTTCTAAAGGAAATAACCAGGCCAAATCCATTCCAGCTGCCCCGTGCCCCCCTTAAAATCTTTAAACCAAACAGCTCTCTTAACTGGGAAGGGAACTGCAACTGGAGAGAGGATATCAATCTGAATTTACAAGGGATTTTTAACTTGGAGGATTTGCTTAAGCATGTCTTCCTCCACACCCCAAAATTCTTATCTGTCTTTAATACCAGCTCTGCTGGTTTTATCTTCTAAAGTTGGAGGGCCCCTATAAACCAACTTCTCTCTCTATTTTTGCTCCCATCGTTTTTGTCCTTTCTCCAGGAGGTGACCTGATCTCTCTCTTGAAGGCGTCCCATCCAAATCAGGTGGTCTTAATTGTATTTTTAGTCATCATAAAGTTTGATGCCTCACCCTTCACCCAGAGCAGTTTCACATCACCATCCCAAGGAGCAGGGCATCAAACTGTACACCTCAAGAATTCCCAGCTTGACTGTGACCTTGCAAGAATTTCTGGACTCATACCGCAATTAGGAAGTTTCCTCTCATCCGCTCAGATTTCAAGGAGGGCAGGAAGGTACAAGGGAACTTTGCCTGTATCTGACAACGGTGAATCTCTGGCAAAATATTTTTTAGAAAATTATTATTTAAAAACAAAGGTCTGTGCATTCAAAACCACAGCCACCTCCAGTTAAACGACCAGTATAAAGTAAGCAGCACATGAGCGGCACACAAAACACTAAAAAACCATTCTACGTTCTAAATCTTATATTAATAATCCAAAAATTGAGAGAGCTATGTAGAAGATCACAGACGCTTCGTTTGATCAAACTTATCCTCGTTGATCTCTACAGGAGCCTGGCTAAAGGAACATTTAAAGACTGCATCTTCCTTTTGGACACAATTTGAATACGTTTTCTGTTTGTGGCTTCTGTAGTAGATCTTGTACATAGCTCTCTCAATTTTTGGATTATTAATATAAGATTTAGAACATAGAATGGTTTTTATAGTGTTTTGTGTGCCTCGCATGTGCTGCTTACTTTATACTGGTCTATACTAGAATTGGTAGCATAGGCTCATTTCTTCAGTCCCTCCAATTAAATGGCATCAGGCTTGCAACACCTGGGAGTTAAGCGACAGCGACGAAGGATTATGCAGGAAACTCAGAAATGGGGATGTTTCGTTCCACAGTGGTGATCGACATTAATGGCAAAACACACAGGAAAACACCCACCCCAGAGGTGACTCCGCTCCCTCTGCTTGCTCTCAGCGGCCTGGGTCACCAGAGTCTACATCTCTTTCCTCTTCACCCCCACCCCACCCACAACCCTGCCTTGACACCCCCCCTTATACAACTCTGCCATTCTGACCGCCCACCACCATCAGTTGGGTTCCATATTGGACACTGCAAGTGCAGGACAATGACAGAACATCTGCACCATTATATATATTTTTGTGGGGTGTGTGGCTCCAGTCATCCATGCCCACCCCCTTCCCTCCCACCCACCCCCAAATACACCCAGCTCTTCCTCCCAGCTCTTTCTTCCCCTTGCGGTTCCCCCTCCCTCCCTCAAACACACGAGATGCTGTCACCAACCAATTCTTCACATTCACAAACAACGAAAGAAGAGGACAGTCCCGATCCGTCAGTCAACACGTTGCACTTGGAGGCAGCCGCCGCTGCCGCCATCGCCACCACCACTGCCACGTCAGCCGCCTGCCATCATCACAATCATCTTCTTCTTCTTCTTCTTTTGGAGCTGTCAGTCCAAAGTGTCATGTGCCCGCCCCGGCAGGGAGTGGGGCGCCTTTACCTCGAGGCTTCTTCCTTCAGCTCCTTGTTCTTCCGGACCTCCTCAGCGTGCTTGTCCTGTGGAGACACCGCCAAGGTGAGGGGATGGTCACTTGCTCAGGTGGCTTCCAAACTGGGTCAAACATATTTACAGAGGAGGGTGTAGACAGATGCATTATGGTCATATCCAGCACGCTTTTAACTTGCACAATTTCAAGCATAAGCAGCTGAAGGGGGTTGAAATTGCACGAGTTAAATGCGAGCAAGGCAGAGAGAATGAAAGGTTTGTTCGCACCAGGTCTGCTTTGGGTTACTCAGTGCATAAAGAGCCTTTACTTTACGATAATCTTTATTGTCATTGTCCCATACAGAACAACGAAATTGAAAAATCTACATAAGACATTCAAAACCCAACAAGCCTGCTATCCCAGCTATCCCAACCTGGTTAGCCCCCTAAAAACTCTGATACCCCATTTTTAAATACAATATACTCCCATACACTGCGTTTAAAACCAAAATCGCATTTGGATAGAAACCGTTTCTCAGGCAGCTAGTCCTAATCTTTATAACCCTGTACCTTCTTCCAGAAGGCAGAAGCTGAAAGAGATCATTTCTGGGGTGCGCACTATCCTGCGCTATCTCTGCAGCTTTCTTATGGCACCTGGAAGCGTAGATTTGATCCAAGGTGGGAAGAGTGCACCCAATTATTCTCTCCGCAGTCTTTACAACCCTGGGCAGCATTGTTTTTCCCCTGACCGTGCAGCTCCCAAACCACACACACGGACCATAAGTTAATACACTCTCCATTTAAGCTCTCCACCTTGCTTGGAGGAAGCAAGTTTGGCTCAGCGCACCCATTCTGGCATGCTCTCGCAAGATCTCACAGCGCCATTTGAGCTCCCCCGAGCTCTTGTGTGAGCACCCCTAGGCTTCTAGATCCAGTGTATGGAGATGTCCTTGCAGAAAGCTTAAAAACTCTTTCCATGCCAGATCTGTTTGGGTTTCCCCAAGTGAAGAAAGCTGAGGTTCTCTCCTTTGCTTACTGGGCAAGACCCACTCAGTGGGCAAGCTCTGGGAATGCTGGATGCAGAACCCTTGGAACCAAAACTCTGATTCCGATGCAATTGTACTGTGTAAGTATTTTTAAAAATTGTCCTGATATTGCAGTGGTTCTCAACCTGTGGGTCCCCACATGTTGTTGGACTGCAACTCCCATCATCCCTAGCTAGCAAGGCCAGAGCTCAGGGATGATGGGAGTTGTAGTCCACCAACATCTGGGGACCCACAGGTTGAGATCCGCTGAATCAGGGTGGTATCCAATAGGTCCGTTTAGTGCAAGGATTGCCCACCTAGTTCAACATCCCTCTCATCGTTGCCAACTAGATGGCCTGTGGAAACCAGGAGGCAGGACCCGAGTTCAAGAGCCCTCTTCCCTCCTGAAGTTTCCAGGAACTGGGATTCAGAAACAGTGCTGCCTCCATCCTGCAAATCTCTCTGACGTAGCCCAACCCACACCTCCCACAGCTCTTTTTCTTGCAGCTGGCCCCTCCTCACCTTCTCCTGCAAGCGTTCCAACATAGCAGCTAGATGTGCCTCCCGGTTCTCCTTGTTGGACTCCATCTTCTGCATCAGCCTCTCCTTGGCCGTCTTGATGAAGTTGTTGTTCTCCTCGATGGCTTTCTGAATGACCTCTCTCTCGTGCTCTCGCTTGCCCGCCAGGTGCTTCAGCAGCTCTGCTTCCTGGTACTAAACTCACAAAGCAAGACAAGGCATCAAGGACCAGTCATCCTTTGACACAATTCCCACTGTTGGGAGGCGAGTATAGAATCATAGAGTTGGAATAGACCACAAGGGCCATCGAGTCCAACGCCCTGCCAAGCAGGAAACACCATCAGAGCACTCCTGACATATGGTTGTCCAGCCTCTGCTTAAAGACCTCCAAAGAAGGAGACTCCCCCACACTCCTTGGCAGCAAATTCCACTGTCGAACAGCTCTTACTGTCAGGAAGTTCTTCCTAATGTTTAGGTGGAATCTTCTTTCTTGTAGTTTGGATCCATTGCTCCTTGTCCGCTTCTCTGGAGCAGCAGAAAACAACCTTTCTCCCTCCTCTATGTGACATCATAGAATAGAATCATAGAGTTGGAATAGACCACAAGGGCCATCGAGTCCAACCCCCTGCCAAGCAGGAAACACCTATTTGAACATGGCTATCATATCACCCCTTAACCTCCTCTTCTCCAGGCTAAACATGCCCAGCTCCCTTAGCCGTTCCTCATATGGAGGAATGGATCCATATGGAGTATGGATCTTCCCAATTTCCCACATGTCAAAGATGCTTCTAAGCCTCTCCCCGGGGCTTACTGTGCATGTGAGGGGCAGGGGGCAAAAGAATTAAAGTTCTAATTCTGCTTGCGTCTTGCTTCTAAACTGATTGAGGGCTGCGGAAGGGAGAATCTGCAACTGCATTACAGCCTTCCTGCTCTTTTGTTGTCGCCTGTGAAATGGCTTTGGAATCCACTCATCTCTTTCCTCTGCATGGAGTCCTATACATTTCAGAGTGGCTTCCCCCATATCAAATAGGAAAGGTCTGTTGGATCAGGCCAATGACCCACCTAGTCCAGCCACCTGGCTGACCAAATGCACTTGGGAAACCCACAAGCAGGATTTGAACACAAGACCCCTCTCCCCTCCTGTGGCTTCCAGCAACTTGGATTCAGAAGCACTGCTGCCTCTGACTATGGAGGCAGAGCAGAGCCAATGTGGCTAGTAGCCATCAATAGTTAAAAAGGGTTAAAAATCTGGGTAAGATTGCTGAGTGCTTATCAAAGTGTATTTGCATCCAAGTGTGTTCAGCCCTGTGGGTGGGATTATAGGAAGCGAGCTACTCAGCACTGCTGAATCTCTTTCCAGACAGGAAGCAGTGGGCAGCTACCACTTCCCACACATATGGGACAAGAAAGGGGTTAATGCTGGATCTGGTTACTCTGACTAGAAGGAAACTGAGCCATGGACAGGAATTCATTCATCTCTGACATCCGGCTGTTGTGGCTGGCAAGGCCCATTCTTGAGTATCTGCCAAGGTCAGGCAGGGAGACAGAGAGATGCCACCTAATGGCTGATCAATAATTCACCGGCTGGCAAACCACACACATTTCCTCATTGCGGGAGCCTTCCTTGTATCATCAACATAGTGCCTTTTTGACCTCAAAATGCTTTGGCAGCGTTTTGGAGAGCTACTTGAGATTTTTCTGGCTCTGACGTCAGCCTCCTCCTTTGAATCACCCCAGTCGGGAAGCTTCTTAAAGCACTTTGCATACCGCACTTTGCAGGTGTCTTGACCTGCATGCTATGCAGGCAGCATGAGCAAGGCTGAGACCCTCCCTGCCCCCAGACTGCCTTGCCAGAGTGGTGCATGCTCTAGTTATCTTCCACTTGGACTACTGCAATGCACTTTACATGGGGCTCCCTTTGAAGGTGACCCAGAAACTACAACTAGTCCAGAATGCGGCAGCTAGACTAGTGACAGGGACTGGTTGCCGAGACCATATAACACTGGTCCTGAAAGGCCTACATTGACTCCCATTACGTTTCCAAGCACAATTCAAAGTGTTGGTGCTGAGCTTTGAAGCCCTAAACGGCCTCAGTCCAGTAGACCTGAAGGAGTGTCTCCACCCCCATCATTGATCCTGGACACTGAGGTCCAGCGTCGAGGGCCTTCTGGTGGTTCCCTCACTGCAAGAAGTGAGGTTACAGAGAACCAGGCAGAGGGCCTTCTTGGTGGTGGTGCCCGCCCGCCCTGTGGAACACCCTCCCATCAGATATCAAGCAGATAAAGAACGACACAACTTTTAGAAGACAACTGAAGGCAGCCCAGTGTCTGGAAGTTTTTAATGTTTGACATTTAGCATGTTTTTATATGTACTGTAAGCCGCCCAGAGTGGCTGTGGAAACCCAGCCAGATGGACGGGGTATAAATAATAAAATTATTATTATTATTATTATTATTATTATTATTATTATTATTATTATTATTATTAAATTGGGCACAGAGAGGGCAAGTCCTCTGTAGCTAACAAACATTAGTTTCTTTGTTCCCTCCCCTTTCAGTGACCACCATACTGCTTTTAAATCCCCCTTTGTGAGTTTATTACTAGAGGTTTGTTAGCATAGGACTAATGTGTAGCCTATACTATGTAGCCTATACTGTGCATAGGACTGTATAGGCCCAGAGGCTCCCTTCCCTTGCACCAAGGCAGGAACTTTATGACTACATTACAAAACCAAAAGAACAATATGACTATGAAGGTGGTAGAGTCTCCTTCATAGGAGGTTTTACAGCAGAGTTTGGATGCCCAACTATCATATATGATTAAGCTGAGATGCGATTTAGCTGAGATTCCTGCATCACAGGGGATTGGACTAGTCAACCCCTGGGGTCCCTTCTGAGTCTACAATTCTATGATTCTATGAAGATGGAAGTGTGCATACCACTGACCAAAGGAATGTGCCTGTCACAGAGAGGTAATGGAAAAGGAGAAGGTGGTTAGTCATGAACCAGCTTAATGGGTCTGCTTGCAGATGTTGAGAGCAGACTCATAAACTGCTCACCAATGAAAATGCTGGAAGGATGCAACTGGCCTGATGTGACATTTGAACCACTCCTGTTGCCCTTCTCCTGGCACATGGGGGAGAGAAGGCAAGTTCCCTACCCAGTCCCCCGTATGACCAAACCATGTCCCACCCCCTGAAAGGCCTGCCATGTTTGCCAACTGGGTGCTGAGGAAGGGTCTCACCTTGCGTCTCTCCTCAGCTGCTTCCAGCTTCTTCTGGATCTCTTCCAGGGAGGGGTCTCGCCGCCGGGGCAGAGAGGCATTGAATTCTGGGATCCCTTCAAAGGAGGGTGGCTTCAGGATGACCTCAAAGGACTGGCCGGAGGTGCGCTTGTTGAGCTCGATGACCTCCATGTCAGAAATGACGCACCAAGTGAGGTCTACGGTGTCTACTGGAAGAGAAGAGGGAGGGAGAGGCTGGGATGTAATCATGCTAAAGAGCAAATGTGTTAATGGAGGAAATGATGCTGGGGATATCTCAGGGCATCCAGCTAGAGAAAGCACAGGAAGGGGTCTTATTCAGAGTCAGACAACTGGTCCATTGAGCTTAGCACTGACTGGCAGCAGCTCTCCAGTGTTCCAGACAGAAAGCCTCCCCTGGATATGTCACTGAGAACTGAATTTGGGAGCTTCCCTGGTTGCCAAACACCCACCAGACATCTGGTGATATAATCCAGTCTCCACATTGGACCTGATTCCAATCAGTAGAGGAGGATTTAGGGCAGTGTGACCGGTTGCCCTGCACTGGGAGCTGAGCCAAGGGTGCGCTGCAGGGCATCACAACTATGACATAGTGAATTGAGCAGAACAGATGTTGAGAAGCAAGGGGTGCCAAATTTTGGGCTTACACAGAGCGCCACTGAAATATGAAAGAACAAAGTCTGCCCCTGCAACCAGGCTGCTACCAACATGAGTTCTGCCCTGTGATAATAGATTGTGCGCTATGGATCATGTTCCAAGAACCCTCAACAACTTCACAGACATGGAGGAGATCTTCACCAAACAAGCAAGTTTGGGAAAGGCTTCCAGACTTCAGAGTAGAAACCATGAACCCCACAAGAACAAAGAAAAAGCCTCTCCTCAGCATCTGGGGAGCCTATTCTTCTTATTTATATTCCGCCCTTCACCTGAAGATCCCAGGGCAGTTCACTACAGGAAAAGGCTAAGCTCCAGCTGCTTCTTTCTCTGGGGTCGCTAAAATAAAAATGAAATAGGCGTTTGGAGAGGGAATGGACTATGATGTTTCTGTGGGATGTGAAACACAAGAGCAGTCAAGTACAACATTCCTAGAATGAACATGTTTACACATGGGGAGGAATGTTTGTCCAGCCAGCGGGTAAACTTCCTGTTTCCTTCTGGGCTGGGACAGACTTCCTCTGCATATGACTAGAGGTGGGTGTGGCCTCACCTGTGCAGGTAATGACAAAAGCACAGGGCAGGGCAGCCATCTCCCTCTCTTTGACTACATGCATCAAAGAAGCAACATCTGCTTAGCCAAAGATGCCCTCTTGGCATCTTCCAGCCAAGAGAGGACAAAGGAACTGTCTCCTTATGAGATAGTTTCCAGGTGTATGTTACTTTTCTAAGCTAAGTCTGCCTTCTGGGATCCTATTGTGAACAGAATGATATGTGAGTAAACCTTTTTTATACTTTTGTAGAAGACTGTGTCGTGTCTTATCTTTTATGAGGGAATAAGGGGAAAATACCAGAACAGTTATTATAGAGGCTTTAGCGAGCCTGAGCTAACGCATCCGCTGTGAGTTTAAAAAGGGAAATGGTACTCTGCTAAATTGTGGAACGTGTGAACACAAGTTGGAAAAGGATATAATCAGACAATATATCCTCTCCTGCATCCCTGAACATTCCCACAGTTTCTCTCCTTGCCAGGAGCAGGCGCAAGGAGCGTCCAGCTGTTGTCAGACCTGAACCACTAACCTAGATTACATTCCTAACAAGACCAGGGTTGGTAGTGGCTGCTTTGATCACTTGGGACCATCTCGACTACAGAGCAGCTTAAGCCTAAGTGACATGTAAATGTCAAAACAATTCAATTTTTCACAAACTCCGTTTTATAAAAACATAATTTTATAAAAGAAAAGAAGTGGAGCCTCTCCTGTGTTACTCGCAGGGTCTGGGCATGTCTGCTGGCATTGTCTAGAGAATAAGAATGCATAATGCATGTCTTAGATTCATAATATATCATCATATATAATATATTACCTTCCAGCCTTCTCAGAGCCCGTGGGAAGGGGAGGCAGGAGGAAGTGGTGCCATCCACCATTTGTGGAAAAGATCAGGGGCAAAAGGAGCTGAGCAAATGGGACACATAGGGCAGCAGGCCCAAACCCACACGCGTTTGGGAGTTAAGGGGTCGGTTGCCTCACTTACCTTCGTATTTATAAGACGGTTTGTTTAAGGGATCTGAGAGGAAGCAGGAACAGAAGAGAGACACTAAAGGGAGCTCCTTCATTTTTTCTTTGTAGGCTGCAGGGAGGGGAAAAACACTTTGTCAGGAAAGGTCAAAGTCCTTCACTAAACAGGCTCCCATCCATACAACTGCCTGGCCTCTTCCTCCTCCTCCTTATCTCGCTGCTTCCCTTGTAAACTCAGCAGGGAGGAGGATGGGGACAGGGCCGGCACACCCATAAGGTGGACTGAGGCAGCTGCCTCAGGTGGCAGAAAGCCCTGAGGCAGCTGCCTCAGGTGGCAGAAAGCCATGAGGCAGTGCCCCTGCCCATTGGAAGTTGACACCCCTCCGTTGGCAGAGAGGTGGTGGTGCTTTCAGATGAGATCTTGTGAGATCTTGCTGAAATCTCACACATTCTGCAAGATCTTACCAAAATATTGGATTATCTCATACTCTCCGTGCATAGCTGTCAACGTTTCCCCCTTTTTTAAGGGAAATTCCCTTATTCCGAATAGGATTCCTCGCAAGAAAAGGGAAAAGTTGACAGCTATGTCTCTGTTGGGACGTGGGTGGCGCTGTGGGTTAAACCACAGAGCCTAGGACTTGCTGATCAGAAGGTCAGCAGTTTGAATCCCCGCGACGGGGTGAGCTCCCGTTGCTCGGTCCCTGCTCCTGCCAACCTAGCAGTTTGAAAGCACATCAAAGTGCAAGTAGATAAATAGGTACCGCTCCAGTGGGAAGGTAAACGGCGTTTCCATGTGCTGCTCTGGTTTGCCAGAAGTGGCATAGTCATGCTGGCCACATGACCCGGAAGTTGTACACTGGCTCCCTCAGCCAATAAAGCAAGATGAGCGCCACAACCCCAGAGTCGGTCACGACTGGACCTAATGGTCAGGGGTCCCTTTACCTTTACCTTTATGCCTCTGTGAGATCTCTCCAAAAACCATTTCCATTTCATGGGTGCTACAGCACAACCCAGGTAAGGGAGGCATGGGTGGGGGCAGTAGCAGGGTGGCTGTCCCTAGATGGGGACAAAACTAGGACAAGCCAGCTCTGCCTGTCATTAGCTATGGTGACACCTTCTGATGGTCTCCCTGCCTTCTGACCCACCCGTCCCAAGGGGCAAAGAGCAGCAGGGGTGCTATTGTCCCATGTTTTAGTCATGGGCTTGGTGGAAGCATTTGACCATTGGTTGCGCAATTTGGGAAGGAAGATGCTGGCCTTTTGGACTGATCCAAGACAAGGGTCTTCTTATCTTCTCCATGGACCTGCTTATCGACCAAGCAGCAAGAACACTCGCGTTTCCATACCTGCCAGCGTCATGGTGCCTGGTGTTATGTGCCTCCTGCTGTCTGAGCGCGTATCTGAGTAGGCAAAGATCGTGTCCTGCTTGTAATCTGTAGAAAGGAAGCAAATGAACAGGGGTGAATTTAGTTACCGGGTTGTGCTTTGAACTTTTCCAGGAAAAAGGGGGAAACATAATGTCAAGATGCTACAGTTTGTATGCTGAAGAAAGGAGGAACGAATGGTGGTATCTTGCTTTGGTAGGGCTATTTCACAGTTACCATAATATAGATATTAAAAAATTTAAAAAATTGCACCCAATAAACCAGATTCTAGGCTGGGTTCTGCAACAATGCAAAAGGTGATCAGTACAGATTAATAGCATTTGAATATTTAACCCTCTTATTTGTTTTTGAAAGTGTGAGGAGAGGCAAAGAACTCTGTCGGGCAGTGAAATGTCCACCCTAATCCAGCAGGCTATTACTGCGTCTCTCTGTTCAATCCCAGTTAAGAGCCTACCACTCCTCAATAAACTTCTTCACTTGTTTTCCAGAGACCCTTCTATGTAAGGGCTGGTTCAAACAACTGCCTTCCCCTCTACAATTGTGAAGTGTTGATTTTGTTGATCAGGTCTTGTTTGCAAGAATGCAGCCACTCACAGCAAGACAATTACTAACTCCATGCATTTTTGGTTCAACCTTCGCACCCCCACTGGAGTAAGTAATAATATTGCTGTTCTTCAGAAGTTTAATATCCCCAAATGATTTTCTCCTCCCTTGGAAAAGATACAGGGATAGGCAGAATGGCCTAACGAGCACTTGGTCTATGTTCAGAGGCTGTGTAACAATAAGAACATGTGGGTTATTGTAGCCAATGCAGGTATCTCTGCTCCATTGGCAAAGAGAGCTTTCTGGAGTTAGAATCATAGAGTTGTAGAGCTGGAAGGGACCCAAAGGGGCATCCATCCAGTCCAACCCCCTGCAATGAGAAGGGCACTCTAACCAACACAGACACAAGAGGCCTCCTGACAGTGTGAATCAGCGCTTGGAAGCAAATGGCACCAGGTCTCCGATGACCCCAGTTAACACGGCCCTCACAGCTAGGGAGGGGAAACAGAGTCTAGACAATGGGAGCCATTCGGTACCATACACCGGGTGGGGAAGCAGCTGCTCTGCGGAGAAGAGATAGAAGGAATTGTCCTTTCAAAAGTTATCATGGATCTCTGGGCCCTACACTAGTGTCTAGAAAGGCGAGCAGAGCAAAGCATCTAGCCAAAATGTCATGGGACAGGGAGTGGGGGATGAGATATCAAAGAGAAATCATGAGGTTTCATTATTACTTTTTTGTGGTCAGCCAGCCTGGGGTCATGAAGCGGTCTGACTTTTAGTGTGCCATGTAGTCTGAAGCTGTTGTTGTTTAGTCATTTAGTCGTGTCAGACTCTTCGTGACCCCCTGGACCAGAGCACACCAGCCCTTCTGTCTTCCACTGCCTCCCACACTTTGGTCAAACCTCATGCTGGTAGCTTCGAGAACACTGCGCAACCATCTTGTCCTCTGTCATCCCCTTCTCCTTGTGCCCTCCATCTTTCCCAACATCAGGGTCTTTTCCAGGGAGTCTTCTCTTCTCATGAGGTGGCCAAAGTCCTGGAGCCTCAGCTTCAGGATCTGGCCTTCCAGTGAGCACTCAGGGCTGATTTCCTTAAGAATGGAGAGGTTTGATCTTCTTGCAGTCCATGGGACTCTCAGGAGTCTCCTCCAGCACCATAATTCAAAAGCATCAATTCTTCGGCGATCAGCCTTCTTTATGGTCCAACTCTCACTTCCATACATCACTACTGGGAAAACCATTTTGTTGTTGATGTTTAGTCGTTTAGTCGTGTCCGACTCTTCGTGACCCCATGGACCAGAGCACGCCAGGCACTCCTGTCTTCCACTGCCTCCCACAGTTTGGTCAAACTCATGCTGGTAGCTTCGAGAACACTATCCAACCATCTTGTCCTCTGTCGTCCCCTTCTCCTTGTGCCCTCCATCTTTCCCAACATCAGGGTCTTTTCCAGGGAGTCTTCTCTTCTCATGAGGTGGCCAAAGTATTGGAGCCTCAGCTTCACGATCTGTCCTTCCAGTGAGCACTCAGGGCTAATTTCCTTAAGAATGGATGCGTTTGATCTTCTTGCAGTTCATGGGACTCTCAAGAGTCTCCTCCAGCACCAGAATTCAATTCTTCGGCGATCAGCCTTCTTTATGGTCCAGCTCTCACTTCCATACAACACTACTGGGAAAACCATAGCTTTCACTATACGGACCTTTGTTGGCAAGATGATGTCTCTGACTTGGGGTAGCCTATGGAAGTGGCTGGGCCACAACTCCCATCAGCCCCAGCCAGCACAGCCCATGGTAGAGGATGCTGGGAGTTGTAGTCACATATGTCTTGAAGGTGCCACGCTTGTTTGCCCCGTTCCAGCAAACTACAGCTGGGCTAGGCTTTCTGCTGGGAACTTCCGCAGCAGGCACGATGTGTCTGGGGCATTTGCGTGACCTCCAAACCTACATCCCAGCTGGACAAAATCCATATATTGCTGTAGATGCTCTGGCAACAGGCTTCAGAGCAAAATCAGGCTGCTAAGTCTCCATTGCCTTCCCATCTGACACAGCTTCTGTCAAAGTTCTTCCCACTCACTGATTATATAAGACTCAGCAGGCTGCAGCTGTGGAGAGACCTTCCCAGCCTACAATGAGGGGGGAGTCTCAGTCTGTTCACAAGTGATGCTCAGATCCGGTTTTGTGCTCAAAGGCACATCGGCCATAACCTGTGTTACATTTGCCCTCTTCCTCCATTGCATTACCATCACACATACCCAAAAACCCTCATTTCCGCCACACGTGAAAAGGGCCTGGGCCTTCCAGCCAGCTATTGTTGGCTACTAGCCATGCTGGCTAGGCTCTGCCTCCTTCAATGCTTCTGAATACCAGTTGCTGGAAAGAGCAGGAGGAGAGAGAGGTCCTGCGCTCAAATCCTGCTTGGGGGGCTCCCAGAAGGGGCATCTGGTTGGCCACTGTGAGAACAGGAGGTTGGACTAGAAGGACCATTGGCCTGATCCTGCATAGTGCAAGTGAGGGAAAGCTACCAAGTGTAGGGTCGGGCACAGAGCACAGAGTCCTTCTGAGAATGGGACCAGAAGCCATCTTTGCAAATGGAAGTTGACACCCCTTTTGCTGTGACAGTGGCAGTGGGCTGAAATTGGGGGCATTAGCAGCAGGGAGGGGTGCTTCCCCCCCCACCTGATCAATTGTGACACTTGACTACAGCACATAGTGGTGCAGCTATCACAGGATTGAGGGGTAAGAACATGCTCAAGACCACTGTTTTCTTTACTGTTGCTTCATCCTATCCTTCCAGGGTTGCATCGTGCCACGTGGCATGGAAAGCAGATATTGAGGACAAGGTTCTGGTGAGCCCTAGCTTGTTTTCATTCTAAATATATTTTTAATTCTCTTCCTTAGCCACCTCGGATGCATAAAGCCCTGCTCTTAAGCTCCTCCAGGTGTCTAGAAGCTGGCTGGTGGTGAGGAATGGGGCTCTGTACATGTTCAAAAGAAATCATGCCATCCCACCTTGTCCTACGAGTTCCTCTGGCAAAGCTTCCCACAAGCAAAGCTTGATGGCAAGAGGTGTTTGACAGTGGAACCGATTCCCTCAGAAGGTGTGGACTCTCCTTTGAAGGCTTTTAAAGAGAGGATGGATGGCCACCTGTCAGTAGTGATCCCTGATTTGCAGGAGTTGGACTAGATGAGCCTTGGGGATCCCTTCCACCTCTACAGTTCTAGGATTCATCCCCACCACCATGCAAGACACTCAGATGGCTTCTTCCTTTCCATGATGCTCAGCACCCACCCCTCTCATTCCAGGAGCGCTAATTGTGGCTGACAGGCCACCCCTTCCTTTGTCATGACTTCGCAAGCGGCTTTGTCAACAGCTGCGGGGGCTTATCCTTGGCTCTAACCAGATGATGAGTATGAAAATCTCCTTTAGGAAAAGGCCAGCTTGGAGGTGTGGGTGGGGTTGGGTGGGAAACGAACTAACTAGGGTGGCCACCTACACAGAAAGGGGACAGGAGGAGAAATAGATTCATTGGTGCCAAGAGGTGCAAATTCAGAAACAAGGAGCAGATTTCAGACAGAAAGGGGAAGACTGTGACCAGGTGAGCTTTGTTCTTCCTCAGTCTGCTGTCCATCATGTGTTAATTGCTGATGGGCAACTTTCACCCCACGCCTCCCTTCTTCAAACAGAAGATGCCTTCACTGAGAGGACTGCCCTCTGCTAGAACAAGTGGTGCTGATGTGAGAGAGGCAAGGGAGAGAAACAGAGAGCGAGGACGCTGCCCGTCTTTGCAGTGGTTCCGCCACGGATGCTCCTCCGGAGCTTAATGAATAAGGGAGTGCGGAGGAAACAACAGCCCTGTATAATATAGGATGAGCTCATTCGAGCTGCAAACAGGCAGGGCATGACGGGAGAGACCTCGCTTTGCAGCCACCTACAAAATGGAAGCTCCACAGCACGCCTTTGCATGCATGTGTTAAGTATTGGGCGGGTTCATTGGCTTCTTTACCCTGCCACATCCCCCAAAACTCATGGCTCGCAGCACGCAGGCACCCGGCAGAAATTAAGAAAATAACAATATGCATGCAGTGTGAAGGATAAAACGAACTTACAATTTCCCCCCCTCATCCAGCAATTATCCTATTCCACCACCACCACCCAGAAATAATCATTTGCACACTTGACAAAAAGGGAATGTGGAAGAATGAGCGGCATAGCTGTCATCTTTTCCTTTTTCTTGCGAGGAATCCTATTCGGAATAAGGGAATTTCCCTTTTAAAAAAGGGAAACGTTGACAGCTATGGTGAGTGGCTCTTGCCACATGGTAGCCTCTGTGCTTAGATGTCAGACTCCAGGAGAAGCAAAGATCGCCCTCTGAAAATATTCTTATTATTTTTAAATACCCTCCTTTGGCGTCGTACACAGCAGGTTTGCAAAAGCGAGCGAGCGAGCGAAATTTCTCCCCTTGGAAGCGTCTTTATCAGGAACTCAGCCCCTCCGCCCCTTTCCAAGGAATTCCAGCGCCCACTCCTGCATTGATTTCAGAAAGGGGGTCTCCCTCCCCACCCACCCTTGACAAACAAGGCATTGCAGTTTCCCTTGAATGACAGGCGAGAGAGCAGCTGCCTCCCCTTCCCTTTTGGCATGCCTCGTGGAAACAAAAGTAAGGATTTGGTGACGTAAGGGTGGAAGATGGCTCTGGTGGCAGCCACGAGTTCCCCTCTAGCTTGAACACCGCCGTCAGTCACAGAGGAAAAGCCTGGGGGGGGGGGATAAAGGCTATTGTACATGACCCCACCCCCATTTGTACATCACCCCAACCCCTTGCAGACGTGGTGCATGTAACATGTTTGTTGGGAAATCCACAGCCAAAAGCACACACACGTGCAATCATCCACATTTGCATACTCTCATTTCTCCTCTGGAGCGGAGGGGGAAGCACTCTGCACATGCTCTCTAGAGCCACTTCACTATTACTACTTTGCTAGTTCAAAGACTCGACCATTATCGTTAGAGCTGGTCCTTCTTCAGCTAAACCCCAGAAAGCCCTGACTAATAAATATTAAGCCCCGATGTGGTCTTTCTCTGGAGGAAAAGGTACCACGCGGAAGTGAACTGAGGCTAGGCTGAATATGACCTGTAGGAGTAAAAAATAAAGCGAGGGGCCGTAAGAAGGAGTTGGTTAGAGAGGTCTGGAACAGTTTTTGGGATCGCCTGTTGCTGCCCAGAAGAACCAGGGAAAGGAGGTTTGTTAAGCAGCGAAGAGAAGATTCTGCCTATCAGCCTGGAGAGCAATGACTAACTGGGATGGGAGGATTACAGAGTCAGGAGCTGAGTGCCAATTTTGTGCTCATTGTTGAGACCATAGGCACTCCACGCTGCTGCCCCCTGAAATTAGAGGCATCTGGGCAATCCAGATTCTGTACAAGGGAAGCTGGATCCTGCAATCAAGGAATATAATGCAAACGGGGAAAACTGTAGCATGCTCTTAGGGCTTTTGTTTCGTTCGTTTTCTTTCCTGCATAGTTTTGGTTTTGCTGGGCAAGAGGGAACTCAGCAGGGCACTAAAAGCCCCACCCCTGAGCACAGGAACCCTTCTGCAGCCCCTCCTCTGATGTCAGCAAGCAAGTGCTGCTCACCCACTTGCTCCCACAGGGACCAGAAACTCACTATTTGTAGGTGAGAGTGGAGAAATTCCCTGCTCTCCCACGAAACTGTGGGAGGCAGGCAGCCCTGCTCATCGTCGCTGGGTCTGCATTATGGTGTGTTAATTGCAAGTGTGGAAGTAGAAGAAGGAAGAGCAGTCAGGAAAAGAGAGAGACATAAATGCCCCCCCCCCCGCCAAAAAAAAAAAGTCCTGACTTCCAATGAAAACTGACCAGATTTTGACTTTCTTTTCTTAAAGCTACACTGGCATCTCTGTGGATGTCCCTGAAGCCACGAGGCGCCCAACCCGTTTTGACAGCCTTCATATTGCATTGGGAGAAACAAAACCGTCTTGTTGGGACCACAGACGGGTTATCTTATAGTGACTGCAACAAATGGAAAGCAGCAATTTCTTCTTATATGGGTATATTAGGCACTCTCACTCACACCCACATACACGCAAACCCCCTAAGTGATGAGATGTAGGAAGGGAACGAGGGGCAAAGCACGGGGGCGGGGGCAGTTGGATGCCCAATGCAAGCACATGGTGACAAAAAGAAAATATGGTAGATTAAGAGATGGATGAACAATAATGTGCTTGATAAAAGGCGAGCATAGCGTGGCAAGAAAAAGGAACACAGGGCCATTTAAATAGAAATAATCACAAGGTTTACTATAGAAACTTATATTACTTTCCCTCTCTCTATATATATATCTGCAGAAAGGATAGAAAGATGAAAGATAGATAGATTAGATGATAGATAGATAGATAGATAGATAGATAGATAGATAGAGAGAGAGATGATAGATAGATAGATAGATAGATAGATAGATAGATAGATAGATGATAGATAGATAGATGATAGATAGATAGATAGATAGATAGATAGATAGATAGATAGATAGATGATAGATAGATAGATAAATAGATAGATAGACTTTCCAAAGCCATAAGGTGTGCTGGGGTCCTGCCCCATCACAGCCTTTCCCATGCCTACCCCCCCTCCAACTCTAGCCCCTGCTTTTGAGGGTCCAGCATTTGCCCCCCTCCCCCAGAAAATAACTTCAATGCTAGGGAGAAATAGTATTTAGTTCCTCGGTTCGCTCCCCACTTCCCTGGCCTTTACTCGCCTTTGCAGCTGCTTGTGGGGTACCCTCTCCTGAGCCTGATGCTACTCACCCCCTTGCCAGATCGACACCTGGTCCAGCCGCTCCCAGCCTCTCACTCGCTTCCTTCCAGGAAAAGATGCTAAAAGATCCACTTAGCATCCGCCAGGCTGCCAAGCTCTCACCATGACATCACCTCCGAGCCAGCCGATTGGCTGCGCTCATGAGGCCTGCTGATTGGGCAGCATCTTCATGGGAATACAGAATCGCCTGAGTAACTCCTCGGGTGAGCCAGGTGTGCCGGGATGATGTCACCCACAAAAAAAAGGTATTTCCAAGATGCAGAAGGACAAGACAGGCAGCGTGCTTGCTTAGGAAGGAAAAGGTGCTCCAGGGACAATATAGGTCATTTCCATGGATGCTGCGAAGACACAATAAACCCTTCTATAGCAAAGCAGCAATTGTTATCCAACTCAGTACAGAGAAGAAGCATATCTGGGCAGTAAATGATCGTTGCCACATCTCTGCCCAGGAACGAGTTAAGACTGAGCATCTTTTGGAAGTGGTGTTAGGGGTTTAAAAAAAATTGCTTTGGCTGGATTTTATTTCTTCAATCAGGGTGAAGCTGCTAAGTTGATGAGCAGGGGAAGAACTGTCCTTAGTGCACTTTTTGTAAACAGTGGTACTTTGGGTTACATAGGCTTCAGGTTACATACACTTCAGGTTACAGACTCCGCTAACCCAGAAATAGTACCTTGGGTTAAGAACTTTGCTTCAGGATAAGAACAGAAATCGTGCTCCGGCGGCATGGCGGCAGCAGGAGGCCCCATTAGCTAAAGTGGTGCTTCAGGTTAAGAACAGTTTCAGGTTAAGAACGGACCTCCGGAACAAATTAAGTACTTAACCCGAGGTACCACTGTATAATAATGTATTCCTAGGAGCCTGGCGTGCTCTGGTCCATGGGGTCATGAAGAGTCGGACACGACTAAACAACTAAACAACAACAACAGGAGCTTTCCTATGACTGTAGAAGCCAAGAGATTGAATTGGAAGTCCTCAGGTCAGAGGGGCCCCCAATCTCAGCCTTTAAACATGTCAACTCACACTTTCACATGTAGGTAGGTGTGTATTGCATGGTGCGGTATTTTGGAGTGAGGTTGCTTTATTGGTCTTATTGGGTTGAATTATCTTTTTTAGATGCAATCCTCACTGGGATTGAAGGGTGGGTAACAAACAGAATGTAAAGAATGAAAGCAAGCATATTAATACCGCTGCTGTAGATAGGAAGCTGCCTTCTGAGTCAGATCATTGGCCGATCTAGCTCAGTATTGTAAACACCGACTGGTAGCAATGCTCCACAGCTTCAGGCAGGTGACATTATCACCCCTACCTGTAGATGAGGAGACTGAAATTGGGAACTTTTGCGTTTAAAGCTCTAGGACTGAGCTATAGCCCTTCCTCCTACGCGACATACAAGCATATCTACTCATGAGTAAGCACCCTACTGTGGCATTTCAAAGTGCAGGCTTTCCAGGAGAGGAAATCAGCTCCACCTCATAGGCAAGTTGATTGAAAGTACAGTTGCCAAGTGATGGGGGCCTGGGTTGTGACTGTGCTTTTAACAGCAGCTGAAATCAGTAGGGAAAGGTTCTCCTGGCACAGAAATAGCATTATTATCACTTCCTTGTTGTTTAAGGGCACAAGAAGATTTAAAAAAAACTAACTGGCAAGCCTAACTGAAAGAGAAATGAAACAAAACAGAAAACAAAAAAACAAGTGACGAGGAGGAGGTGGCAAAGGAGTGAGGTTTTCAGTTCCAATCTCTTGAAAGACAGCTCTCTTAGAAATTTGGTGGTTTTTATTTGTGTTGTTAAATGCATCCTGACCACCACCATACCTGAACTAACAAAGAAGGCAAGCAGGAAAAAGAACAAAAGAGCCACACAGGAAGACAATGGATTTGTTAAACTTGACAGCTCCACTCAGGCTGGTGGTGTGATCTGGCTGACCCAGCTACTGGTTTTCTCCAGAGAGGTTTGCAGAATTGTGCCTTTGACAAGGCAGCTGAAATAGTGACGATGGCCACCAGTTTGGGTGGCTTTTAAAAAGGGTTAGACAAATACAGGGAAGATAAGTTACCAATGGTTACTAGGCAGGATGGCTAGGTTTTATCTCCACTGTCAGAGCTCGTAATTTTTCTGAACACCAGTTTCTGAGAATTACAGGAGGGGAGAGTGCTATTGTGCCCAGGTCCTTCTGGTGAGCTTCCCTGTGAGAAAAGAGTGCTGGAGTAGCTAGCCTTTGGCCTGATCCAACAAGGGTTGTCTTATGTTCTTTAAATAACCAACAGTTTCTGTCACCTGGCACACCAATTTCCAGATGCATGTACAATATTTCTTATACAGTGGTACTGTGCTGGTCCCGTGGGTTTCTGTGAGGCGTGGTCCGAGTCCAGTCCAAGGTCGAGGGTGCAGTATTGAGGCTGTCCGTCAAAGCTGAAGCTAGGTCCAAGGCAGGGAGTCGGGCGAGGTCAGGAGATCCGGCAGGACAGGGTGCAGGCAGGAACTGGCTACCAACAACGTTGCTCCCACAACTTGGGACTGATGCTGGCCGGCTTTTCTTTCCTCCGAGGCATAGGGCGGCCCCGGTCCACAAGTGACTCGCCTCTCCTGGCCTGGAGGCGAGCACTCCTCCTGCGGGAACTTAGTTCCCTCCACCTCTCTGTCCTGAGCCTCTGCAGCTCAGGAGAGGCTGGAGGGTTACTGGACCTAGAGGCAACCTCAGCTTCTTCTGACGGGGCTGAGAGTGGAGCACCTGCAGGCAATGGGTCCTCCATCACCTCAGGAGCCAGAGCAGACTCAGCTGATGCCTGCACCTGAGGATCCAGCACAGGTGAGGACCCTTCAGACTCATGCCCCAGCCCCGGCTCAGCTGGTTCTGGAGGCGGGGAATCCTGTGCAGGCTGGGATTCCTCAGGTTCAGCCTCTGAGTCCGAATCCCAGGCCATCACAGGTACCTTGGTTTACAACCATAATCTGTTCCGGAGGTCCAGTTGTCAACCAAAACAGGTTGTAACCCAAGGCGCGCTTTGTAATCCAAAAAAATGGGTTGTAATAAAAAAAAGAGGGACACACACACTTCCAGATTTGACGTGGTTGTAATCCAAAATGGTTGTAATCCAAAGCGGTTGCAAACCAAGGTACCACTGTATATGAGAAGAAGGCATGTTTATGCACCCTCCTAAACATGCCCATGCATTACTTTGTTTGCATGCTTGAGGCATGACTGAAGTGCCACATGAAAATGTTATCATATGTTGAAATGGGTCAGCCTCCATAGCCTTTCAACTGAGCAGCACACAGCAGATGGAACTGTGGGATATGAAACACATAGCAGTCAAGTACAACATTCCTAGAGCGGACATGAAGAGGGATGTTTGTCCAGCCAGTAGAAAACTTCCTGTTTCCTCCTGAGCTGGGACAAACCTCCTCTGCATGTGACTAGAGGTGGGCATGACCTTACCTGCCCAGGTAACAAAACACTTCCTCTTCTCCATCTTGCTTTCAATGTGTGAGCAGAAGACTGACAGTCTGCAGTCACTGGGACTAACCCCCAGTGTATATATTTTTGTAACCTAAGCCTGCCTTCAGTGATCCATCTGTGAACTGAATGATTGTGAGTAAACTACTTTTATACTTTTTAATCAAGACTGTGTTGTGTCTATTCTTTTAAAGAGGGATATAAGGGATTACCAGGAATCTTATATTTAGAGGCTAAAACTAGCCTGCAGCAAGCTAACCACTCTGCAATATAAAAGGGGAATGTTTAAAACTCTGCTAAGTTATAGAACTTGCTAGCACAAGTTAGGAAGGATATTATTAAACAATATATCCTCTCCTGCCTCCCTGAACATTCCCACAGGAACTTCCATATACAGCAGCAGAATACCCCTGAATAGCCATTTCTGGGACAAACAGCACGAGTTCACATTGTAGTGTCTGACTTTGAATGTAGCTTGCCATAAGAACTGGCCATAAATTAGATCAATGCTGCAAACCATCCATGGACAGCAAAGCAAATTCTGTCTAGTCAGATCAATACGATTTGTCAATTTCAAACTCCTCTTTGGCTCTGCCTCAGTTATTCTTAACTGTTCACTTTATATGTTGTGAGCCACTTTGGGCACAATTTTGTGGAAAAGTGGTATACACATAAAAAGATGCTGGTGGTATAACAATTGAGTTTGTGTGATATTTATTACTGTGCAGATTAAGCATCTCATGTCCTTCTTAACAGGTTGTTCCTGAGTGATCTATGAGGTGATGGTGGTGACACATTTTCCATGGCGCTGCTATTAAAAGCAGTTACTTCAATCCTCCCCATTATTGTTGGTGAGCTCTGCTGGCACATGTGATCCTGGAGGGAAAAATACAGTAAGCTAGTTGCAAGGATGCACACTTCAATTACCAACCCTACTTACTAAACACTTATTGACAAGAAAACGTTTAGTGACATATCATGAACTTTAGCATCATATGTGCACTTGGCAATCTTGATTTAGGGAAAAAACTATCTCTGTACAATGAATAAACCCAGCTGGCTCTATGTGGAGGTTTGAGATGTGAAATTGATTGCTGGTTGCTTTATTCAAGCTGGGGGGGGGGCAAATTGTCCTCAAAATTAATCTCAACATGAAAAATTATTGTCTTCCAGCCCAAAAACTTTTTACAAGACTGAAGATTAAAAATGGAGGGTGATGATGTTGTCTCTCTTATCACAAACGTGACTGACAAAGCAGCATTATTGTGCTAGGGCAACAAAGCAGTTTCATAGAATCATAGAATCATAGAGTTGGAATAGACCACAAGGGCCATCGAGTCCAACCCCCTGCCAAGTAGGAAACACCATCAGAGCACTCCTGACATATGGTTGTCAAGCCTCTGCTTAAAGACCTCCAAAGAAGGAGACTCCACCACACTCCTTGGCAGCAAATTCCACTGTCGAACAGCTCTTACCGTCAGGAAGTCCTTCCTAATGTTTAGGTGGAATCTTCTTTCTTGTAGTTTGGATCCATTGCTCCGTGTGCGCTTCTCTGGAGCAGCAGAAAACAGCCTTTCTCCCTCCTCTATGTGACATCCTTTTATATATTTGAACATGGCTATCATATCACCCCTTAACCTCCTCTTCTCCAGGCTAAACATGCCCAGCTCCCTTAGCCATTCCTCATAAGGCATCGTTTCCAGGCCTTTGACCATTTTGGTTGCCCTCCTCTGGACACGTTCCAGTTTGTCAGTGTCCTTCTTGAGTTTAATTCACTTTAACTGCACAAACCTAAAGTTCTGGCACGCATGTGAAACTTTCCTGCAAAATAATGACAACCTGGAGGTGCATTCCCTCTCACCTGTATGGGGTGCAGCTTCTCAGTGCTGTGATGTTCTGGCATATGGTCCTCCTCCACCTGATCTGAGGGTCAAAAGCAATAAGGACTTGAACACTGATATAGTTGTAATCTGGGACAGGATGAAATGTTTGACCTCAGCCTCTTGGACTGCATTCTTAGGAGCTAGGCCTGTCCTAAGAGCATAAGAACAGCCTGCTAGATCAGGGCAAAGGTCCATATAGTTCAGCATCTTGCTGTCATGGTGGCCAACTAGATGCCTGCAGGAAATAGGGCATGAGCACACGAGCAACTCTTCCCCTCCTGTGCTTTGCAGCAAGTAGTATTCAATAGCATTGCTGCCTCTGATCGCACCTGATTTTGTTTATATGACAGTGAGAAGTGAAAATTACAGTAACAAGACACCTAAACAGCTGCTTTATGATGATGTAGTAGTAGCATCTTGGCGGGGATAAGCGCACACCCTACTCTCAGACGTACCTGTGGAATAAGCCTCTAGTGGATGCTGGAGAAGGAGTAGCTGGAAAATAGAATTTAAGGCATTATACATAGTATGAAATGACAGAGAATCTATGAAAAAGTGATATGAGAAGAACAAGGTTTAACTTTAGCGTGTGAGATCTCATCTTGGGTGACTAATTTAAAGTGACTAACATGGGATAGAGTGATGTAATCAGATTGGTGTAATAACTCCCCACCACCACATTTTCCAGCTTGGCTGCAAAAGTGGTGTCTCACCCAAGGAGAGGCTATAGCTATGCTTGAAATCCTTGGAGAAGAAGAGAGCTCCATTCTGTTTGTCCTAACCCTTTGTTATCATCTTGTCTTCCATACCCATTGCAGTTTTAATACAACCATTCTACCTTTTCCCTCCCATATTTCTTACCATTATTAGGGTTATCTGGAGTCATCCTGCCGTAAGCCATCCAGGTGGTTCCTGTAGCAAGCTGAGGGGAAAAAATGAGACATCCCCATCGTGAGTCTGGAAGGCAAAAATAAGATACCCATCCTCTCTTTTCCATACCTGGGAACAGGAAGGTAACAGTGTGGAGACTCACTTGCCAGTTTGGTGGGTGGCTGGCTCTTGAGGAGATGGAATCCATGGAAGAGGAGCGGCTATGAGGCACAGAGGTACAAAAAGTTAAGCCGTCCTTAGTGGGAATAGAAGGCTGGATAGACATCCAGATTTTGTGATTGGACTAAACCAATGTATGCATATTAAGGAAAAATCATACACTACAGAAACTTGATTTCTATAGTTGCCAAGTCCGGTTTGGGGAAAACAAGGCAAGGGAATGGTTGAAAAACGTTGAATCTGGATCAAACTTCACCGTTAAAGAACTTGAAAAACGAAACAGCAGAGGTCACAGCAGCAAGTGTCCTGAGGCATGATGCAAGCAGCAAAAGGAACCTATGTAAAGCAAATCCTCCCTGCATTGACTGAAACAATTCACTTCTTGAATGCGTATTTCTGTTTGTTCCTTTTCTACAGCCATGTGGATTACAGAACTTTGTTTTCCCCCTTATGTTCTTCTGGAATTTTGAGCAAGTTTACATATTCCCTGCTACTTATCACACTCAAAGAATATTAAGTTTCTTATGTGCCTACCTGATCACTTCACTGGACTTCTGGAAATTAAACGGTAGTGTAACTGCAAAGTATGAGATAGTAGATTATTGTGAAGAGGAAGCATGAAGCTGAACCTAGTGGTATCAATGACCACTTTGCATATAGAAGATCCCAATTCAGTTCCTGACAACTCTGTTTAAAGAATCCTAGATAAGAATCCTAGGGCAGGAGGATCAGCAGTCTTTGAAGGACAGTGACTTCACTAAAATGTATTAAATGCTGAAGAACAAAAAAAGGCATGGATGCTCTTAATCTGATTTTCATACCTCCATATATGTTAGCACAGTATGTGGTATCATGGAAGCACATTTGCTTTCTCTTCCTCAGTCAAGGCTACTTTCATTCATACATGCGCAAAGCTGTAACATATGCTCTTGTAACCCCCATGATGGGCTTGATTTAGCCCTGGAAGACAGAGTCACTCAGCAGAGAACTAGGAGGGGAAGCTTGGTCTGTTGGGGAGCTGAATAACAATTCTGAGCTCTTATCACCTTGTATCTACCTTCCTCAAGCTAAAAAAGTCTGCCATTAACTGTGCTAGTCCTGTCACTTGGGGACGAAAGCTGCTTGAAGAATAAAATCTGAATTGTCCAGCATCTTTGTGGACTAGAGGAATATGCAGACTAGCTGACTTCAAAGTTTGCCAGCAAGAATTGTCTTAATTTTCTATTTGGACTCTTTGGTAAAGGTAAAGGGTAAAGGGACCCCTGACCATAAGGTCCAGTCATGGCCAACTCTGGGGTTGCGCGCTTATCTCGCTCTAAAGGCCAAGGGATCCGGCATTTGTCTGCAGACAGCTTCCGGGTCATGTGGCCAGCATGACTAAGCCGCCTCTGGCGAACCAGAGCAGCATACGGAAATGCCGTTTACCTTCCCGCCGGAGCGGTACCTATTTATCTACTTGCACTTTGACGTGCTTTCGAACTGCTAGGTTGGCAGGAGCAGTGACCAAGCAATGGGAGCTCACCCCGTCGCAGGAATTCGACCTGCCGACCTTCTGATCTGCAAGTCCTAGGCTCTGTGGTTTAACCCACAGCGCCACCCACGTCCCTAGACTCTTTGGACCATTGCATAATTTATTTGTTTTTCCATTTATTTCATAAAATTTATACACCTCCAAGTGGTTTACAAAACGATATAAAATAATAAAATCAGGGCGGAAAATACAATACATTGATACATGCTAGAAGTTTAAATACTAAAGCAGATTAAAATTCACATCAGCATTTCTAAGCATCTGGGTAGGCTTGCCTAAACAGGAACATTTCTGGCAGGCTCCAAAAAGAATTCAGTGAAGGTGCCTGCTTGATATCAAACTTTGCAGTTCTATTGTTTTGTCTAATTATTTGCTCACCTTTACTATTTGCAAGTTCCTCCTCATAGGTCCACATAGGCAAAGGTTACACACTCACATGCTCATCCACAATAATTTATACTACCAAATGCACATTTGTCCCAAAGTCTCGATTGAAAATGTCCTACCTGGCTGTAAGGGGGGTTTGATGGCAAGTGGCCTCGGTGTGCTGTTTCTATAACAATTTAAAAGGAATTTTGTTCAGTCAAGGTGGAAACCATATTACCTTGCCTGTTTTGCTAATAATAATTATAATAATAATAATTTATTATTTGTACCCTGCCCATCTGGCTGGGCTTTCCCAGCCACTCTGGGCAGCTTCCAACAGGATGTTCAGCGTGGGCCTCAAACCCAGCACACCTCTGATATGAAGAGCCTCTAAAGGAAGGGTGAGAAGCCCTTTTCAGCCTGAGAAACAGGCAGGACCATGAGCAGAAGTGGCTGGGGCAACGGATGCAGAGTAAAAGTCAGGGATCTCTACCTACACCCAAATCTCACCCACATTTCTACCCCCCAGCCAGGCAAGCGAGAGGCATTATTACAGTTTGGTGACACATTGAGGGGTATATTAAAGCAAATATTCTTCAACATCAACTTCGTTGGACTGGTCATGTTGTGCGGATGCCTGATTATCATCTTCCAAAGCAACTACTCTATTCTGAACTTAAAAATGGAAAGTGCAATGCTGGTGGTCAACAAAAGAGGTTTAAAGACTCTCTCAAGGCAAATTTTTAGAAATGTAGTATAAACACCAACAATTGGGAAACACTGGCCTGCGAGTGCTCCAACTGGAGAACAGCCTTTACCAAAGGTGTCCTGGGCTTTGAAAACACTCAAACTCAGGACGCAAGGGAGAAATGTGCTAAGAGGAAGGCACATTTGGCAAATCCTCACCGTGATCAACTTCTGCCCAGAAACCTATGTCCCCACTGTGGAAGGACATGTGGATCCAGAACTGGCCTCCACAGTCACTTACGGAATCACTGTTAAGACCGTGTTCATGGAAGACCATCTTGGTTATGAGTGATCACCAAAGAAGAAGAAGTGTGGGGATGAGGTTTTTGACCTTGGAAAAGTCCCCAAGTGCCAGAAAGAGAAGCCCGAATGGCTGCATTCAGCTGCTAGACCTGGGATTCTCCATCCCTGCTCCATTCCATGCGCTGCAATTCTTGGCAATTGTCCAAGCAGATCAGAACAGACACACTCACCTGCTATCCTGGAGTTGATGTGGGGAATCCTGTAGGAAGAGAGTGGAGAATTTGCCCATGGAGAAAATGTTTCCCTCTGTGCCGGCAGAGGGGGTCAGGAAGCAAAACACACAGAGTTGGGTTTGTTCCAAACAAACAGCTCCTACCTCCAATGAGCAGAGATTCTTCATCAGTTCCCTGTTCTCCTTCTGTAATGCCTCCAGCTCCCTAAGCATTTAATGCACAAGATAGACGTCTTGGCAAAGCAGCTAGCAATATCCCACACCTCCCTTCCTCTCATTCCCAACCGTGGCCCTTTAATCACTATTGCAGAATACTTTTGTACTGATTTGTTGTTATTTTATTTCATAAAAATTGTACACTGTATGATTGCAAAAACAAAAACCCTCAAAGTGGTTTACTAATAGAGAAGGGTTGGTGGGATGGCTCTAGGATTACATAATTTCTTCCCTAACTTTTGTTTTACATTTTTTTGATAAATTTTAAATTAGGAAGGAGCAGAAGTAAACACTCCTATTCTCAGTCTATTGACTCGTGTTAAATGTTCACATTATCATGAGGGCTTGCTGCACTCCTGTCCAAGTGCCCTTGTCCACCAACAGAAAAAAACTGCTTTCTTTCACAAAATAGTAAAAAATAAATAAAAAATGGGATATTTTCTATGGCTTTAGGGACATGACTCCTCTTTCAGAAAGGAAGGAAAGGGGAAAGATTATTGTATGTAAAATGTGCGGATGCAGGCCATGCCGTCTTGAATAATCCCTCCTGTTCTCCCAGACCCTTTTTTTCCTTCTTTTTGCAACTTGCGTGTCTCACTTTTCCTGTGTAGTTAGTTCCTGGTAAACTTGCTGCAGAGCTCCTTCAGCCTTTGAAGCACGGTATTTATAAAAAGAGGCAAGCAGCTCCATCTGGCTTTTCTGGAAAGTCCACACCTAAGAAGAGAACCATGGGAGGGATGAATTATGGGAATTCACAACTACTGATTCTCAGCAGATGGGGGGATTATAGCTCCTTCAGGAAATATATCCTTCAGGCCCTTGCCATTCTAGAGGCTATGGCCACTCATTTCATTCAAACAAATGAAACATAAAAACAGGAGTTGCCGTAGATTTTTTTTCCTCAGGGGTGGGAGGAAGCTTGGGCTTTTCCCCACCAATGCATTATGATTAAAAGTAACTCTGCCTTTTCAATTAAACATGCATTTCTTGCATTTTCAAAAGGAGTACAGTCTTTTATTTTAAGTTGTGAACTGCTCCAGGGTAGTGGGGAATTGTCAGGGGCTCAGGAGCAGAGGCACAGGAGAGGGAGGAAATAGAGACCGAGGGGGAGGAATCTGAAGGAAATGTTAGCGATGACAGCCGTCCGAGGTCTCTGAGTCTCTCCAGCGACTCGGAGGATTCACAGAAAGGGGCTCCCATGGTCAGAGCAAGGGGGGTGCCTAGGGGGACACCCCAGGAAGAAGGGGCAAGAGGGGACTCAGAGAGCAGCAGCTGGAAATCAGGACCAGCTTCTCCACCTGAGCGCAGTAGGGGGGAGGAGTCCCAGGCATCGGGATCAGGCGGCGCACCGCCAGCGGGAGGACATGAATCAGGATTGGCCACACCTCCATCGGAGAGCGAGGAAACGGTCAAAAGGAAGGTCGGAGACTGGGCGCGCGCACCAAGTTCAAATGTACAAGAGGGCGGCGCAGTGGGCAGCCCGGATAGGGAGCCAGGTCCTAAAGCCCGCCGAAAGGAGGGAGGAGACTCAGGGGGGTCAGCGTCAGCGTCAGAAGAGTCCAGGACTGAAGGGACCCCGGGGGTAGAAGGACCCAGAGGAGAAAGGAGAGACAGAAGAGGTGGAGTAAGGTTAGAGTCTTAAACTGGTGTACAGGGGGCGGAGACTCAGATGGAGCTTCGCCGGTCTAGCTCTAAGACGTAGAGCTGGGGCGCTCCGGTTTGGAAATGGAAACTGTACTTCAATAAAGACTTTTGTACATTACTGCCGGCTAGCGTTGGTCCTCTGTGAGCTGGGACCTGGAGCCAGCTCTGACAGTAAGCTCCATCTCTTCCGTCTCTCCTTTCTCCTCTGGGTCCTTCTACCCCCCAGGGTCCCTTCAGTCCTGGACTCTTCTGACGCTGACGCTGACCCCCCTGAGTCTCCTCCCTCCTTTCCGCGGGCTTTAGGACCTGGCTCCCTATCCGGGCTGCCCACTGCGCCGCCCTCTTGTACATTTGAACTTGGTGCGCGCGCCCAGTCTCCGACCTTCCTTTTGACCGTTTCCTCGCTCTCCGATGGAGGTGTGGCCAATCCTGACTCATGTCCTCCCGCTGGCGGTGCGCCGCCTGATCCCGATGCCTGGGACTCCTCCCCCCTACTGCGCTCAGGTGGAGAAGCTGGTCCTGATTTCCAGCTGCTGCTCTCTGAGTCCCCTCTTGCCCCTTCTTCCTGGGGTGTCCCCCTAGGCACCCCCTTGCTCTGACCATGGGAGCCCCTTTCTGTGAATCCTCCGAGTCGCTGGAGAGACTCAGAGACCTCGGACGGCTGTCATCGCTAACATTTCCTTCAGATTCCTCCCCCTCGGTCTCTATTTCCTCCCTCTCCTGTGCCTCTGCTCCTGAGCCCCTGACAGGAATGTTCATCAAATGACAGGGAATCAGTGCTGTCCAAAACTAGCTCCTGATGCAAACTTGCCAAATTAATTTTCAGGAACTTTAGCTGGAAAGAAAACCGTTCATTTGCACAGACGGTGATGAAAACACTTCAAGCAGCTCCACTATTCACATAATGCTTTCTTTGCAGGCAACTAGAACACCAGCCATAGCTGAAAAGTAATCACCAAATTCCATTATTTGAGATATGCATTACATTCAGCAAGTGACTTTGACTCTGTGCATGCTGCAGTTGTTCCTAGAGTTGGCATAGGATGCCAGAAATGTCAAACACCTGTCAAGACCTACCCACTAAGCAAGAGGCCCAGTCCCAATCCCTTGAACCTCCTGGCTTTGCTGATCCAACTCCTTGCTTTGAATTACTCCTTGAGTAGTACTGGCATGTTTGAAGGCCAGCTGACAGTGTGCAAAATGAAAGTTCTGTTCAGGACTCTAGGGCATCTCAAAGACAGTCTCCCCATTGTGTCAATTTATAATTTGTGATAGCCCTAAATGTATTGTGGGCTATGTCTCACAGAGGACTTTCCTGGTAGCCTCAAGCTTAGATTACCTCCTTATTCGTTTACAGATATATACATATTGGAGCAGAACATTTGACACTATCTTAAGCCAACATGTAGTGTTGGGCCAGACATGGCGCTAGTATCTCACAGAGGACTCTCCTATGAATGTGGCTGCATGATTTGTGGTGACCCAAAGTTTACTTCATGTGCATGTCTCCAGTTCAAGTCACCTGGGAATGTCATGTGTTAAAGTATGTTGTGCAAAAATCCTTTGATTGGAGAGAATTATATTGGAGACCAAAGGAAACAGTTTCCCAGTCATGGAGACATGTGATGTGGGATAGTCCAAAGCTTATTTTGGGGTACAGATGCATATAAATTTCAGTTTGTTATTCAGACTTCTCATGCAGCTCTATTTTGAACTTTTGAATAAGGAATTAGGAAATAATTGCTAACTTCAGACTCAAGGCTATTGAGCTTCCCTTCCTTGCATTGTCTTTCATTTTGACAGTCAGTGCCACACATTTTGGAATCCAGGATCAAGAATGAATTTCAGGACCGGTATCTGGTTTGTTAGGGCTCATCCAAAATTCACCTGTCCTGTGCCTAGAAAGCACAAGTCCAAGAGGTATTCTGTTTTTCCTGCCACTTTCCCTGGGAAAACCCCGCTCTTTACTGCTGAATCAGAGCAAACGTTAATCTGCAGAAAACCCAAATTAAGTTTGCTCTGATTCAGTGGTAAATAATGGGTTTTCCCAGGGGAAAGTGGCGGGACAAGCACAAGTAAGGACAAGCCTTTACTCTTACCTGAGAAATATGGGCAATATGGCCAAGTACAAGTTCAACAGGACTTTTGAAAAACTTTTTTGCTTCTGGCTGCATCTGTGGGTCAGAAGGAAAAACACAGAAGGGGATATTCATCACAGATTGATACGTTATTAAAGATTTTGGGATCTAAGGGAGGTCATCTCACCATCTTCTGCTTCAAGGTAAGTAGAAGCCACAACTTACATTATCATTAAGAAGCAAATATTTTGTGCTTGTTCCACAAGATGGGCATTTATCTGTCAGGATTCAAATGCAAAAAGTTAGTGCACATACTAAAAATTACTGTGGATAAGAAGTGTTCCAAAAGAACAAAACAGATCAGTCCTCTGAAATCACGAGTCCTTAGATTCAAAGTCCTTTGATTGTCTTAAAATTGTCCTACTCATTAAAACAGGCCAGAAATGATTAATATAAAAACTGCAGCATTAAGATTAACTCAAATTTATTGAAAATTTAAACATTCAGTTATTTTTGATCCACCATGGAGTTAAGATTCCTAGCATTTCTTAATGTTATTGTAGGACTGTAGAATGTAGCAGGGAAATTATATACTGTACATAAATAGGAACATAAGCAACAAAGTTATCTGCACAGGAAACCGAAATGAAGGTTTATTGCATATCTGTAGGAGGTCGGAAATCAGTGATTGTTTGAATGTCAATCAAAGGATCCTGTGACACCGGCTTAAACTTAAAGGATATGATGGCATGTCTGAATGCGTCCCAGACAACTAGACCTGACATGCTGGAGCTCTTACCTGAGCCAGCACATTTTTTGCAAAATATGTGTCCACAGCTGGTGACAGAAAAATCAGACCCCTCCTGGCTGAAACATTGGTTGCAATGAAACCAATCCATATTGCAAAGTGGGAGAGCTGAGGCAGAGTTCCTCCGCTGAGATGTTTTTCTTCTATTAATCTTTATTTCCCAAAGCTGTTTCTTCTATTACTGTTTTAAGACTGAAAGACAAAAAAACCACTGCAGACTGGGCTGAACATCAGGCTTTCTAAACACCCTCACCCCATCCTTAGCAAACAATCCCGTGCCTATCTGTTCAGAAGAAAAACCCATTGAATTAAATGGCGCAGACTCCCAGGTCTGTGCATATAGGATTGCAGCCTAACATTTAACACCTGAAGGTATCTGAAGAAGTGTGCATGCACACAAAAGCTACTGGACAATTTTTTATTTTTATATATATTTCGAACATTTGACACCATAAGGGCGTAGGGTAACCATAAAGCTGGCACTTTTTTTGTGAACACCAGTGGATTTCAGTATTCCCCACACACACCCCTCCACTTTTTAGTATGAAAGTATATCACAAACCATTTTCCGTGTATCTGAAGAAGTGTGCATGCACACGAAAGCTCATACCAAGAACTAACTTAGTTGGTCTTTAAGGTGCTACTGGAAGGAATTTTTTTTGTTTTGACTATGGCAGACCAACACGGCTACCCATCTGTAACATTTTCCACACAGTTAAGGAAAACTAATGCTTTTAGAAGAATGGATGCTTTTGAATTGTGGTGCTGAAGGAGACTCTTGAGAGTCCCATGGACTGCAAGAAGATCAAACCTCTCCATTCTGAAGGAAATCAGCCCTGAGTGCTCACTGGAAGGACAGATCGTGAAGCTGAGGCTCCAATACCTTGGCCACCTCATGAGAAGAGAAGACTCCCTGGAAAAGACCCTGATGTTGGGAAAGATGGAGGGCACAAGGAGAAGGAGACGACAGAGGACGAGGTGGTGGGACAGTGTTCTCGAAGCTACGAACATGAGTTTGACCAAACTGCGGGAGGCAGTGGAAGACAGGAGTGCTTGGTGTGCTCTGGTCCAGGGGGTCACGAAGAGTTGGACATGACTAAACGACTTGTTGTTGTTGTTGTTGAGTTGTTTAGTCATGTCCTCCTCTTCGTGACCCCCTGGACCAGAGCACACCAGGCCCTCCTGTCTTCCACTGCCTCCCGCAGTTTGGTCAAACTCATGCTGGTAGCTCCAAGAACACTGTCCCACCATCTCGTCCTCTGTCGTCCCCTTCTCCTTGCGCCCTCCATCTTTCCCAACATCAGTGTCTTCTCCAGGGAGTCTTCTCTTCTCATGAGGTGGCCAACGTCTTGGAGCCTCAGCTTCACGATCTGTCCTTCCAGTGAGCTAAACTAGACTAAACGACTAGACAACAAAATGCTTTTAAAAAAAAGAAAAAGAAAAGGCAATGTTTCTTAAGTTTTAGAAAAAGTACTGTAAGAATGACAAGGCTGTGAAAGCAGATTTTGGATTGGCTGCGAGGTGTAGATGCTTTGGTGCTCTCTTTATTTTACTTCAGTTTGGGGAAAACTTTAAAAAGAGCCTTCCCTTTCCCCCCTGAGGTATCAATGGTTGGTCTTTTCTTTGAGGGGAGAGGGAGAGAGAGAGAAATTTCCCTTTTTCTGGTACCTAAAGAAAATAACCAAGATCAACGCCCGGGTGACAGGGAAATGTGCCTTTTCGAGGCGAATGTTCTGGAAACTGGAGGCGCCCTGACAGGGCTCGGAGGAGGGCGCTTTCCTCAATGGCCTCCTTCTCCCTCAGGAGGAGCGGCTGCCATCGCCGTCCCCCTCAGATGACCGCAGCCTGTTATGCCGGGCAACGTGGCAGCTACCCGTCCAGCATTTACAATTTATTTACAACTTATTGTGGCGGGCTTTTTTCTCCCCCTTGAAGCGCCCTGCCGCCCTGCCTTTCTTTTCCCCTCACAACAAGCGCGGCCTAACAGTCTCTCCTTTTCCCGCCCTTTTCCTCTAGGCGGCTTTCGCTGAGGGGAAAAAGAGCCCGCGCTGGGGAGGAGGAGGAGAGATATATATATTCTGTATATATTCTGATTCTGATATATATATTTTCTCATATATATATATGAGACATTTAAGCCGCCTTGAGCCTTTGTCAGGGAAAAAGGCGGGGCATTTAAATACCCCGCCTTTTTCCCTGACAAAAGCTCAAGGCGGCTTACATATCAAATGAAATCAGAACACAAACAGTAAACACTTCCAAATTAAGGAAAAAAAAGGAAAGGTTAAGAAATAGCAATATGGAAATAAATGAAATGTAAGATGTAACTTGAAGAAAATTTGGTATAAAAATGATTATATATATATAATATATGCCCCACCTTTTTCCCTGACAAAAGCTCAAGGCGGCTTACATATCAAATGAAATCAGAACACAAACAGTAAACACTTCCAAATTAAGAAAAAAAGTAAAGGTTAAGAAATAGCAATATGGAAATAAATGAAATGTAAGATGTAACTTGAAGAAAATTTGGTATAAAAATGATTATATATATATAATATATGCCCCACCTTTTTCCCTGACAAAAGCTCAAGGCGGCTTACATATCAAATGAAATCAGAACACAAACAGTAAACACTTCCAAATTAAGAAAAAAAGGAAAGGTTAAGAAATAGCAATATGGAAATAAATGAAATGTAAGATGTAACTTGAAGAAAATTTGGTATAAAAATGATTATATATATATATATATATATATATATATGCCCCACCTTTTTCCCTGACAAAAGCTCAAGGCGGCTTACATATCAAATGAAATCAGAACACAAACAGTAAACACTTCCAAATTAAGAAAAAAAAGGAAAGGTTAAGAAATAACAATATGGAAATAAATGAAATGTAAGATGTAACTTGAAGAAAATTTGGTATTAAAAATGATAAGAGCATTCATCTGAAAGATGAAAAATAAGACAAAATTAAGCAGAAGTAGCAAATAAGTTAAAGAACCAGAAGGGGAAGCGGAGGGAAGTCACCAGGGTGGGTGGGGGAAGTTTTCTTTATTGTATTTTCTTTCATATGATAAATGTGTTGAATATTAAATTGTGAATTTTTTAAAAAAATTAAAGAACGTAAGGGGGAGGGAAGGGACCCTTTAAGAAACAAGTAAACGTTAATAGAACTGAAACTTTATTGGGATTTCAGCTAGAGAGAGTTTTAATTCTATGAAAGCATGTGCATATAATCTATTAAAAACATGCGGACACACTATCACAAGGAAAACATCTTGTATGTTGATGTTAATGTTATATGTTCCTATGAACTGTTAAATGTCTTTTTTTTTCTGAACAAGCAAGAAATGTCTTGCAGAACCTTAAAGAGCAACAAATTGTATAATGGCATAAGCACTGAGGGTGTAGGTAGCAAGGTCAGGAGGAAATTAAATACATACAGTACTGACAGGTAATTGCATCATTAACACCAGCTGTTGACAACAAGAATAGGAACACTCCTTTCAGATAAACTTTCTATCTTAATTTCCAGCCAGTTACATATTTGCTTGTTAGACTTTGTTTTTATTATTTTAATAATAATACAAAAAATATGTATATGCTCCCCATCTGATTGGCTTGCCCTGGCCACTTTGGGTGGCTCCCAACAAAAATTAGTTAAAACACAACACCAGCATCACATACTGAAAATTTCCCCAAACAGGGCTGCCTTCAAATGTGTTTTTAAAAGTCACATAGTTGTTTGTCTCTTTGACATCTGCTGGGATGGCGTTCCACAGGGTGGGTGCAACTACCGAAAAGACCCTCATCCTGGCTTTAATCAGTTGTGGCCTGTGCTTAATATGTCATACTTAATGACATCATCAGATCCCACCTATCCCCAGTGACATCACTGGAGGCCACCTCCAAGTCTCAGGTTTGGGCCCTGAAATCTTAATGGTTGTTTTTTTCCCCTGACCTGGCAACCCTGGTTCCCAATGCCCAACCAGATCAACTAAAAACTTTAAAATGCCCAGGCGAATAAATAAATGTTGGCATTGATGATTGCAACATTAGCATTGGTTGTGCTCCTAGGGACTTAGAACCACTAACAACTGATCAGCCTCTATTCCTTGATAGTACAGAGAGCAAGTATGGGCAAGTGTTGGAATAGCATTCAGGGAACCAGCTAAGGAAAGGGCATGAATAAATACTAGGTGTAATTCTCAAGAACTAGGTCAGCGACTAGATTTGTTCTTAAAAAATCCATGATTTCTTTAGAGTATCGTTATTATAGCTCTACTTTGTGGAATGATCTCCCAAGGAACTGACAATCTGAAATTCGTGTGAGAGACATGTGAAAGATGTATGAATACACTCAGTTTAAAATACTATACAGGATTGTTCAGCTGAGGATAAAGAAAAAAACTAAAGGCTTCACAGGGATGGGTTTTGGAGGAGGGACTTGAATTTTAGAATCAAGGCAGCTGAAGCTTTTATTTTTTTAAAATTAATTGTGTTTCTAAACAGGTCAGTGCCTTTTCCTCATCAGTGAGATGGCAATCGGTATCCATCCATCTGAAATGTCCATGCTTTGGACAAAGTACAAAAGAACACAGGTCCTATTTCCTTCACAGATGTGTAGAAGAAATTCCAGCAGGTGTAGCTTTTTTCCATCCTCAAAGTACAAACTGCGGTTGCCAAGCCCTGCTGCCTCCCTTTGCAGCTGGTCACGCTCTTCAGGTGGGAGCATGTGTGTGCATGCTTGAGCGCTAATACTTTTGTCAGTACAGCAGTGACTGGCCACTGCCCCTTTGCGGTCTTAGTTATGGCTAGCTGCTAGCCAACAGCACGTGGTTCAGTTTCCTTTGTTGGAATTTTATGTGACAGGGTTATTGTGTCACTAAGGGACACAGGGAGCGGCACTGCAGTAAACGATATGGCAAGGCGCTTTTTCAGAGGAGGAAATGGATTCTCTGATTCAGGAAAGGAAACACACACAACAAACTATAAGTTACATAATTGTTGTTAGATTACTAATTTTTTTGCTGCCATTTCCCAAACACTGAAATCAAGGATTTGGGTGACATTTTGACTGCAGAACCATAAAACAGAAAATATTCTGGAACGACAGGAACAATTGGGATAGCTGGGATAGCAGGCTTGTTGGTTTTTGAATGTCTTATGTAGATTTTTCAATTTCGTTGTTCTGTGTGGGACAATGACAATAAAAATCATCGTATCGTAGGAATACAGAACTGGAAGAAAGGGTACTTAAGTTTTTAAGCACTTAAGGTTACAAGAACAAAAACCAACAGCTACACTCTGGTTATTGGCCATCCAACATCTGCTTAAAAACCAAAGAAGGTGAGTCCACAACCTCCCAAGGGAGTCCACTGTCAAAACAGTTCTTTCTGGCAAAAAGTTCTTCTTGACATTTAGTTGGAATCTCCTTTCTTGTAACTTGAAGCCATTGATTCAAATCCTTTGTTGTTATTACCAGTGAAATTACAGATGGCCTTCCAGAGTTTTATCTGTTGCCATTGGAAAATATAATATGGATATCTAAAGTGACCTTCTGGTCAGTGGAGAAAGCAGCAGTCCCACCCAGATGGAACCTTAGGCTTCGTGGGGCTAGTTCCTCTGGTCAGTCTAGAACAGGAACTCTCAGAGGCTCCAACAATCTCCCACTGTTAGTCTTATGTTCACAATGTTATTATTACTAGGTGTTGGACCAGCCTGACAACTCAAAGCTTTTCAAGGACGGGCAGTTGCAGTAAGGTTCCACTTCCCCTACTGACCGCCCATCACCACCTGATCATTCAATCAGTGCTGACTATCTCCAGAAGTTAACTCTTTCCTGTGTGCTCCACTCTCTGCTGACCAGAAGAACATTTCATGGTAAGTCCAACCTGCCATTCAAGTATCATTCTACAGAATGTTTTAAGGCACTTGAGTGGTTGTCAGTTAAAAGTTCTGAATGCATTTGCAACGTGAACTGATCAATTTCAATGTTTCCTTTTGAACAACTTACCAGGTTACACAAGTGTTTATTTTAATTACATTAAGGACATTTCACGGTAAGTCGAACCTGCCATTCAAGTACAGTGGTACCTCGGGTTAAGTACTTAATTCGTTCCAGAGGTCCATTCTTAACCTGAAACTGTTCTTAACCTGAAGCACCATTTTAGCTAATGGAGCCTCCCGCTGCCGCCATGCCACCGGAGCACGATTTCTGTTCTCATCCTGAAGCAAAGTTCTTAACCCGAGGTACTATTTCTGGGTTTGTGGAGTCTGTAACCTGAAGCATATGTAACCTGAAGCATATGTAACCTGAGGTACCACTGTATCATTCTACAGTATGTTTTAAGGCACTTGAGTGGTTGTCAGTTAAAAGTTCTGAATGCATATGCAACGTGAACTGATCAATTTCAATGTTTCCTTTTGAACAACTTACCAGGTTACACAAGTGTTTATTTTAATTACAATGTCAATCCATTGTTTAGGAAAACATGCTGATTTGAATATAAACATTTTTTGTACAAGGCTCTGGATAATATGCTGAGAGGCAGGAGTATCAATTCCCTGTTAAACAATTCATGCCACAAGAGAGCAGATGAAATGCTTATAGAACTTATGTTGGCTCACATGAATGAGCAAAGCTCCATATAAACAAAGCCGGGAGAGGAACAGCCATAGCCCATCTATCCTGAAATGGCATTAACTTTTACAGCTCCAGATATGGTGAGCAGACCCAGCAAACGAGTAAAACACTTCCACCAGGACAATTGCAAATGGAGCTGCCAACAGATCAGAAAATAACCGATTTTCCCTGTTCCTGGGCTTTTAAGAGCAGCTTGACAAAAACCTGTCACTTTTCACAGCATGCAGCCCAGCAAAAAATATGTTGATTAAAAAGCTGCCTACCTATTTCCATGGAGACTACAAAGCGTACAGAATTTGTTTAAACCATCTCTATTGTATACAGCAGGGAACCTCTGGCCCATGGGTCAAATTTGGCCAGATATTCTTCCCCAAATGAAACACAGTTTTCCCCAAACCACATCCACGTGCCCAACATCCAGCATCAGATGTGGAGAGCTGGATTGAACTCCCTGGTCCATCAGCTGACAGGCTAGGAGCTCAGTCCCG